ATTTTATTAATAAGTTGGAGAGCTGAGAATAAATATCTGAAGTCCTTGACAGATGAATTGTTCTATACTTCTATCAAAATGCACTGCTGTTCAAATGAATACTTCCAAGAGAATTGAAAATTAGTATGGGAATTTATGGCCTTGAAAGATCATTAATTGCGTAGGGTTTGTCTTGTCAATGGTTACAGTCTTGATGTGTATTTACAGATCATGAAAACCCATGTCTTCCAAAATTGAGTCCACTACGAATCTAGTCTGTGAATGACACAGTCACTCCAGTGTTGTCTAATATGATGGATTAGAACAGACAGGAAGAAGGGGAAGTCAATTCTAGTTAGGATCTGAAGTGATATATAAGCCATTGCAGAGACAATTATGTAAAATTATGACACTTGTTACTTTTACAATTACTCTGCAACCAATATGCATTTTCTTCCCAGAAGATCCCTACAGTGAAGAATTTCCCAAAGCCCCTCAACTGATAAAGCTGGTTAGAGGAAGACATATAGAAGCTGGAACCTTGTAATGAGAAGAGGTCAGGTAAGACAAAGAGAACGTTTTGTATATTTAAAGGAGCAGCCTAAAGAAAACATGTGTTGGAAAAGCAGGTAAAGTAAGCCAAATATCTACGTGGATTCATAATTTTTAAAACAGTGCATAATTTAAAAAATAAAAAAGCAACACTCCTCCCAGGAGATAAGCTAAGCCCCAGGGAGAAAGGATGGAAAGAAAACAATCATTTCTATTTTTTAGAGCTATAAAATGAGCAGATAAGCTGAAATGTGTGTGGCACTTATGAAAATGAAGAGAAATCTTTCTGAGACATCATCTTGCTATGTAGCGTGGACTGCCTTGGAACTCACTTTATATAGCCCAAGCTAGTCTCATGCATGTTGAATACGTCGACTTCAGTCTTCTAAGTGCTCTGTAGACAAACATTTGTAGACAGTGTTTGTAGACAAACATTGCCCCACTCAGATCACTTGCACTATTTTGAACCTTTCAAATCTACTGCAAACTTGAGGGCCATATCCCCAAAGCCCTATATACATTTGAAATATAAACCCTCATAACACGATACGTATTTGAGATATAGTGAAAGCAGAGATGTTTATTTAAAAATTCAGACTCATTTCATCATAGTAAAATATTGGTTGGACAGTAGTATAATCAGATGCAATCTTTCTAGCCAAAATATACCTACAACTATACATAGGGGCTACTCATACAGAGCAGATAAAACAATAACTTGATTTTGAAATGTGTTTATGCCTTCCTTGTTGGTATTAATGTTGAATCACTAATGAATAACATCTGCTGTGCTTACCATTCTTTGTGAACATTGTCTTCACCAGAAATTAAATACTGAAAGATATTAAGGTGTCGATCATGTTCCTCAAGGGCTCAACACAAGACTTTAGGCCATTACTCATTCTTCTAAACAACACTATACATGCACAAACTGAGTGGTATCTGATATAATGTTAATCTTACATCCTTTAGTGTCAAATGTAGCTATCATGTTGCTATCTAGATATACACATTGCTTTTTAAGAAGCAAGCAAAGGAAAGAGGTCATGCAAAGGAATGACATGGAAATCATCAACATGGCTTAGAAAAAAAAAGAAATAGAAAGTAGAGAAAGGAAAAAGGAAGAGAAATAGAAATGACCTGGAAACAACAGGGAAAATGTGACTCCAGGTTGATGATGTGAACTGTATACAAACAGCACTCAAGTGTATTTGAGAAGCCTCTAGTTCCATTGACAAATGAGATCTGTTACCACAATCAGAGTGCTAAGGGACATAACAACCTACAAAAGCCTACCCATCAGTTAAGAAGTACATAACCCCTTGGAATAAGTAGAAACACATATCACATTTAAATATTTTACTCAAAACATAGTTTTGAGTCAAATATCATGTACTATATATCGTTCTGGAGGCTGAGCACACAAACAGCCATATAATATCACGAGTTCTACGGTAGCAGTAAGATTAAAATATGATGGGAGCACAGAAAAATAGAATGATAGAACGTTTATATGGTGAGACCATGGGATGATCCAGCAAGTGTTGACATCATAGTCCTGGGTAAAGGAGCACCGTCTCACTCTTACCAGCTGTGTGACTTGAACAAGCTTCACCATCGTTGGCACTCCCTGCAATGTCTTTGGAAAAGGCTGGTTTCTTTTAATCCTCTGACAATTCTAATAATAGCCCTGCACATCCAAATTCACAGATTAAAACCATTGAAAGAACACTCCTTCTCACTCCACTACCCACAAGGATGACTCAAGCAGATTTTCCAAATATAAAAGTCTGCAACCGAGCAACTCGTCTGTGCTGATTGCCTTTTTAGATAAAGAGGGTTGAGTACTGGGGGGAAAAAAAAGCATCCAGAAAAGAAATCAAAGACCTGATCTCTGCTCATTAAACAAGGTTGGCGAACAAACAAGAAACGTGAACCTAGGGTAGCCACAGGACTCTAATGGATGAACCATGCTGTTCATTCCTTACCTACTTTTGGTACACTGTAGGGAGAGAATCCAGGATTCGTCCTTTCATAGTGGCACAGAGTATTGAAGCCATTTTAAACATTGCCTTACTTAATTCCTTCTTTTGATCGTAGGAGAACTGAAACGGAATGGCATTTTGAAGTAATAGAGTTAGTCAATAAAGTATCCAGCATACATGGCTATATAACTCAGGAAATGTGTGGTCAAGTTCTGACATGGTGGTGGAAAAATATCAACCAGTTATAGATCTTCCTCTTTCGGTTCCAGGGAGAAGGTTGTGTATGACACTGCTGAGCCAAACAAAAAGGAAACGACCCCAGAACAGGAAAATAGTGGATGATAGAACTAATGAAAAATTAACTTATCTTTCACCATCCACAATCTGTCTGCTCTCTGAATATTTTAAAGAAAATATTGAATAGCAGAGAAATAAATTCCACAGTTAGATTTTTGCATTTTTACAGCGAGTGAGAGTTTCTGTCATGATGGGAAAGGAAACCAATTTCGTTTCAACATGTGAAATATTACCAGCTCAAAACTAAATAACCAATAAATTGCTGCAGACAAGTAAATCTCAGAGTTCCTCGGGGTATTGCTTGGATGTTTGTGCTAAGAAGTCTACTCTCAAAGTGAACTGGCAAGCTCAGATGGAAGTATTCTGAGAAATTAGCATTTCTACCCAATGCACCAAACACATCTATATAAGTCCCCACAATATTTTTTTCTTATCTAAACCATGATTATTTTGTTAATTGGAGTCCTGTTACTGTAACAAATTTCTAAGATAATCAATATATAGAGAGAAAACATTTATTTGAGCTTACAACTTTGCACATTCTAGTCCACGATCAATAGGACTCATTAATTTTGGGTTTGCAGGAAGGCAGTGCATTGTGGAGGGCATATTACAGTAGAAAACTTGTTAACTAAGAAGCAAAAACAGAGAGGAGTTGTTATGATTTGTATATGCTCACCCCAGGGAGTGGCACTATTAGGTGTGTCCCTGTTGGAGTAGGTGTGGCCTTGTTGGAGTAGGTGCGTCACAGTGGATGTGGGCATTAAGAACCTCATCCTATCTGCCTGGATGGCAGTATTCTGCCATCACACTTCAGATGAAGATGTAGAACTTTCAACTCCCCCTGCACCATGCCTAGCTGGATGCTGCCATGCTCCTGTCTTGATGATAATGGACTGAACCTCTGAACCTGTAAGCCAGCCTCAATTAAATGTTGTTCTTATAAGAGTTGCCTTGGTCATGGAGTCTGTTCACAGCAGTAAAACCCTAACTAAGACAGGGATAAGACAGATCTGTGATTCTACCATCTCCTTACAGAACACAGCATCATTGACCTAAAGACCCACCACTACACTCTAGTTTTTAATTCCACTTGCCTCTGAGCTATCCTCTAATAAACAGTCTCTGGGAAGACATTTAAGATCAGACCCTAGAAATCTTGCAATATAATATGAATATATCAATGTGTATTTGTTAAATGCTTCTGTTCTTCTTTCTTCTCTCAGACAATACATCCTTACCACAACCTTCCCTTTCTCTCCCCTCCCAGCCCCCCACTACCCCCCTCCTTCATATCACGTCTTCTCTGTTTTTCTTCAGAAAAGTCCAGGCCTCCCACGAATGTCAACCAAGCATTATAGCAAGATGCAAAGAGACTAGGTACAAGCCCTCATATCAAATCTGGATGAGGCAACACAGTAGGAGGAAAAGGGTCCCAAGAGTAGGCAAAAAAGTCAGAGATATCCTCACTCCTCCTGTTAGTTTTAAATGTTACTTTAAAAAGTGCAACCTATTCAGTGCATCTAACCATACCAACTCTTTAGAAAAACTGATATCAGAAAAATCTTTAACAAGACCCCCTTCCTCCTTTTTGCCTTTGGCCACGTGTTGGCAACTCCTCACCAGAAGACCACTGTTACTCTATATGCAATGGCAGAGGGAAGAATCCAGGGAAGCAGAGAAACCTAGAATAGAAGTATTGGGATTCAATGTGTCACTTGTGCAAGAGTTACCAGAAACTCTTAGTTAATAGAGCTGTTGATGGTTCATCTCAGCAACCATTGGTATTCAACTATCATGTATGTACAAGTATGCGTGTTTCGGACAATCCTAGTAATAGAGCTATACATCTAAATCCACAGACTAAAACTATTGAAACAACACTCCTTCTTACTCCACTACCCACAAAGATGGCTCAAGCAGTTTTTCCAAATATAAACGCCTACAAGTTAGCAAGTAGTCTGTGCTGATCACTTTTCTAGATAAACAGGATCGAGGTGGAAAAGCTTTCAGGAAAGAAACCAAATCCCAGTTCTCTGCCCATTTATTGAGATGGTGACAGAAACAAGAACATAAAGTTGTATTGGGCATAGAACCTTAACGAGTATGCCCATGGCAGTCCATTCCCACAACTGCTTTTGGTACATTGAAAGGAGAAAGAGTCTTTGCTGCCAGACCTCCGCCATCATGGGTCGCATGCACGCTACCAGGAAGGGCCTGTCCCAGTTGGCGCTGCCCTACCGCCGTAGCGTCCCTACGTGGCTGAAGTTGACGTCTGATGACATGAAGGAACAGATTTACAAACTGGTCAAGAAAGGCCTGACTCCCTCCCAAATAGGTGTGATCCTGAGGGACTCACATGGTGTGGCACAGGTCCGCTTTGTGACTGGAAATAAAATCTTGAGAATCCTTAAGTCCAAAGGCCTTGCCCCTGATCTCCCTGAGGATCTCTACCATTTGATTAAGGAAGCAGTTGCTGTCCGAAAGCACCTTGAGAGGAACAGAAAGGATAACGATGCTAAGCTCCGCCTGATTCTGATAGAGAGCAGAATTCACCGGTTGGCTCGATACTGTAAAACCAAGCGGGTGCTCCGGCCCAATTGGAAATATGAGTCGTCCACACCCTCCGCTCTAGTGGTATAAATGCTGTTGTGTACACAAGCAATAAAATCACTTTTGAGTAAACTCAAAAAAAAAAGGAGAAAGAACTAAATAATCAATAGATTAGAACTTAAAAGTACTATCTTAAAAGGTGTGTCCCGAAGCATCAACGTGATTTGCATATAATGACAAAACTTAATCATGTCTTACTCATTTGTAAATTGGTTGTAGAGGGTCCAAAAATCTCTATAACCTGTGTTAGAACAGGATTGAACCATGGACAAACGAAAACAAAGTCCCTTACTGCCAAGGTTGACAACAACCTCCATCATGTGGGAAGATTTAATGATTTGTGTTTAGCTGGTGGCTTTGGAAATGGTTCCTGAATTATTTTCGTAAATGTTTTCTTTCCCAGTGGCTATTCTCATTGCACTGACAAAATAGGTTGCCAAGCAATTTTAAAAAGGAAAAAGAGGAAGGGAAGGAGGGAGAGGAGAAAGCAAGGCAGAAGAAAAACAGAAACAAAGGAAGAAGGAAGAAAGAAAGTAGGGAAGGAGCAAGGAAGCCAGAGAGAATAGCAGGCAAGCTAGTTTTATTTGGATTCAGAGTTTCAGGTACAGTCCATCATGACGAAGAAGGCCTGGTAGCAGGAGCAGGAGGCATCTGGTCACATTGCGTTCAGTAAGGAAAAAAAAAATTCAATAACTGCTGGTATTCAGCAACTCCCTTTCTCTTTTTACTCAGTCTAGGTTCCTAGCCCATGAAAGGATGTCACCAGCATTTAAGGTGGCTCTTTCCATCTCAAAAACACAATTCTAGAAATCCCTTCACAGATAAGCTCAGAGCTTTATCTTCTGAGTGAGTCTATATCCTGTCAAATGTATACATTCGCAGTAAGGCAATTCTCTGTCCTTACCAAATACTGGAAGAAAACAGCTTTTTAAAGGCAGGGTTAATTTAGGCTAACTGCCTCACAAACTTCAGTCCATAGTCTCCATTGCTTTGGGCTTCAGCTGAGATAGCCCACAGGACAGTGAAGCCCAGAATGTTGCAAAGCAGCTTAGTAATGGCAAGCAGGAGAGGAAATGAAATGAGCAAGGAGAGATAAATAGAAAGAAGACATTCCCTTCAAAGACGTGGATTGTTCCATTCTTTGAAATGAAATGAAAGCAGCATTCTTGTGGTGTAGAGTCCCCATCTAGGTGTGAAGTCAACCTAGAAAGATGTGGGGACATCTTATGTAAGCCAGGACATATCTTGCATGAGTTGCTTTCTTTGCAGCTGGGACAAAATACCTTACAATGGGAATTTAAGGGAAGAAGGGTTTCAGCTTCATAGTTTTGGAAGCACGGAGCACACATGTCATAGAAGGCATACTGCCATAAATGCAAAGCAGTGAATCATATTGCTTCTGTATTCAGAGCAGAGAGCAATGAGCCCTCATGTTCCACTCAGTTCTTCCTTTCAATTCAGTCCAAGACCCCAATTCACTGGATGATGCTCCCCACATTCAAGGTGAATAATTTTACATCACAGAATGGACAAGAAGTCTGTGTTCTAAGTTTAGTCTGAATCCTACAAAGTTAGCAAGATTAACCATCATGTATCTATTCTATCTGCCCCTAGACACGTCTGATTAAGCTCATGGGCCCATTCTGCAAATAATCACCACTTCTGCCTAGATAGGAAATATATATATTTAAAACTTCCTAAACACTTTTGACCAAATCACCTTCTTAGCATTTTCCTTGAGTTCGTGTCATAATCTCAGAGTTTTCTGTGTGAATTCTACTTTCGGAAAAAAAAAAAATCCACTCTGATTCATTCTCATGTTACCAGACCATGAATGAGATCATTCTTTGCTTCTTATCTCTAATGAAATTCAAAAGCATTCTAAATTTCTAAATTTATGCTTTTCCTTTCCCTCCCTGGCCTCAGAGAATTTCTCACTGCAAATGTCATGAAGCAGCATTGGAACGGGAGAAAGATGTCAGTTAAGGCTTTCATCTGTCTATCATGGACACTGTAGTGATATCACCAGAGAATCGACAACTGAATCAGTAAATGTCACAATTTGCTAATCTACATTGGCCAAATCTCGATCTTTGGAAAAGTTTGGTTGTCATTTCTGCAATTACAACCCATGATGCTGGAATAAAATGAAATATGAAATGCACTGTTCCAACTTGTAAGTGTGCAGAGAATTACAAAGATATGACACAGCTACACAGCCACATTAGTTCATATTACCTTAGGAGCAGAATGAAATTCACCAACCTCAATGACCCAAGGTCACAGAGTGAGAAAATAGCGTAACTAATTTTCAATCTTGGATCTGCCTGTCTCCAAAGTCATTGCTCTTGACCTCCTCCTGACACTGCTTCTCATTATTTTTCTAGTTACTTATCTTCCTGTGAACTTGATGCTACTAGTCTGTGCTTGATTTAGGAAACAGAATTTATTGAATCTAAAGAGCTTCCAGTGTTCCTTGCTGCCTTTAAAAAGAAGGATGCAGTGGGTTGAGGAGATAGTTAAGTGTAGGAATACTGTGTAGACGGACAGATTGCTAAGGTTTGCTGTTCGAGAGCTTGTCTTCAAGTCCAGAGAGACCCTTCCTCAAGGGAATAAAGTAGACTGTGATAAAAAAGACATCAAGCATCTTCCTCTGGCATCTGTGTACACACAGGTACTTGCACACACACACACACACACACACACAAAGAGATAGAGAGACATGAGCATATATAACATAACACATAAGTACCACATACAAACCACACACACACACACATACACTACACACACACAGGTATCTAAAATTCCTTACAGGTAAATGTCATTTCCTTTAATTAACAGAATAATAGAATGATTCTATAACATGAGACACAAGTAACAATCTTAACTATAAAAATTGTATGTTTTCAATATTCACTCACAGTAGACACTTTCAGAGTTCTTTACAAAATAGCATCTTATTTATTTATTTATTTATTTATACATTTAAGACTAGGTTTGAAGAGCCTTCCCCTTTTCCCTCTCTCATTCATTCAAGCGTTTATCAGTGATACTCATTTTAATTTATTTTTTAATATAAAACTAAAGATTCTCCACAAAAGGACAACAACATCTGTGGGTTTCTGAGTTTTCAGCCTGGGCCCAACTAAACATGGTTTTTAAGGATGGTAGCATGGAAACTCTTCCACATGTCCCATGTAAAATAGGGAGATGTTTTATAATCATCTTTCAGATTCTTTAACTTAGTTTTCATGTATTTTTATTTTATTGAAATGAATTTGGGAACAGAAGGAAGTATATTTTGCTCCTTTGAAGAGGTGAGTTAGCACAAAAAAAATTCATGGATTCTTTATGATTTGCAATTAAAATTTGGTTTATATAAAATAGAATATATTGCTAAAAGCTTTGAGATCAGTTATAATGAATTTTTCTGCAGATTCATTCTAGTTAAACCACCTCTTGCCAGTGTCAACTCCTTCTCATTTCCCTAAAGCCTAGCGCTCATTAACAAGTTTACTAGATTTTGAATATTTGAAATGATGATCTTGAGACATCATAATATCAATAAAGATCAAGTAGCCTACAATAGCCGTACAATGATGTGAAGGAGGACACATTCTAGACTTTTCAATAACAAAGATAAAAGTAACAAAGTATTAATGGAATTTAACCTTAAATAGCCAGGAATTCAAATAAATAGAACAACCCATTTACCAAAAAATCCCGCTAGTCGTATGTTCTAGAACGCGTCATACTTCAATTCAGAAGGTCAGGATGATCCTGCTGTCAGCGAAGTTAATTTTAGGTTGATTCATGTATAAACAGGTATTACAGGGAAACCAGGCCAGTGTTCCTGCAGGAAGCCAGCCGAGTTTTATGGCTGCTCTGCTCACATAGTGGGAGGCAGGATAGAAGAAAGGATAAAAAGAGACATAAAGGCCTCAGGGGTCAAATGCCAAGTTCAATTGAGTTCAGTTCCCAGGGATCCACTTAACCAACCTGACTACATCAGAGCAGGGACCAGAATGCCAGGAGCCAGATGTAAATATCCCCTTTCCCAGCTGTCAGGAATTTTTGGTGGTTCACTAGCCTGACCTTCAAAATCATGTTCATGACATTTATCACAAGATGGTAAGTTTTATCCTGGAGAATTTTGACTGTATAAGCCTAGAAACAACCTTTTAATCAAGTGCAAAACCTACATCTCTATCCAAAAACAAAAAACAAAACAAAAACAAAAAAACAAAAAACAGAAAACAAAACAACAACAACAACAAGAAAAACCACCTTAGTCTCACCACTAAATCTTAAAAGCCTGTCATTTTATCATCAAGGAGGAGAAGAAAGAAAAAAAAAACCTTCCTTTGCTATTTTATGACATCAAATTATAGCAAGTAAGGTTTAAAATTGCAGTAGGAAGACTTTTTGCACATACAGGCCCCTTGAAAAAGTCACGTAAGGTTTTAGTTTGTCAATGTGGTCACCATCCTATAATGTGGGTTTTTTGTTTGTTTGTTTGTTTGTTTGTCTGTTTCCTATATGTATTTTCTGTTTATTTTGAATTCTGGGTTTTTTTATTAATTTATTTATTCATTTTACATCCTGGTCACCCTCATATCCCTTCTTTCCTCATAATACCACCATTACAAGTCCCTCCCCCCACACTACTCTCTCCCTTTCTTCTCAGAGTAGGGGAAGCCCCCCTTGGTTACCACCCTGTCCTGGGACATTTAGGTGCATCCTCTCACACTAAGGCCCAAACAGACAGGCCAGTTTGGGAAAGCAATCCATGGCAGGCAACAGAGACAGAGACAGGCTCTACTTCAAGTGTTAGGGGATCCACGTGAAGACCAAGCAGCATATTGGCTACAAATGCTGGGTGGAAGGCACCTAGGTCCAGCCCCAGCATGTTCATGGGTTGGTGGTCCATGCATTTTTAAAAGCATATTAAAAAATTTTCCCGATGACACTGAGTATATAGCTCAGCAGTTAGATCTAGCAGAGGGATCTGAGTTCAGTTCTCAGCC